TCCGACAGATGAAGCTTAACATACTGCATTATGAGTATTGTATGAGTCAGCGGAAACTGGTGCACGTCGACTAAAACACGCCGTCATCTTCAACTTTATCCTTGACGTTAGGTGTTGTACCTAGCCGAGCAGACAATGAACTGCGGTGAGGCAGGCGAGCCACGTCGCAGACTGGGTTCGATTCCCCACATAGGCGCCACATATACTTATTGTGTGTGTCCTGCCGAATTGATATCGTTGGAGTGACGCTAAAAGCGACGTAAGACCTAATTCATAGTCAGGATTTGTCCTGATACACTTACAAGGATATTGACTTGGGATCGGCACATCAGAACATAGAACTTTGAACACCCGAGGGGAGATCTTCAGAACATAGTAGAACACCCGAAGGGAGATCTTCAGAACATAGATCCAAGAACACCCGAGGGGAGATCTTCAGAACATAGATCCAAGAACACCCGAGGGGAGATCTTCAGAACATAGATCCAAGAACACCCGAGGGGAGATCTTCAGAACATAGTAGAACACCGAGGGGAGATCTTCAGAACATAGTAGAAGACCCGAGGGGAGATCTTCAGAACAAAGATCCAAGAACACCCGAGGGGAGATCTTCAGAACAAAGATCCAAAAACACCCGCGGACAGATCTTCAGAACATAGAACACCCAAGGGGAGATCTTCAGAACATAGAACCTGGAACACCTGAGGACAGGCAAAGCAGTGTTTGGTGGCATGATCAACGAAGGCATGGTGACCCGATCAGCCAGGTCACAAATTGTGAGCACCCGATCCACATTTTTGGTGGTGGTGATGTGTGTATGTGCGGCACTGCCCGCCGACTCCCCATAGGGTCAGGGAGATAGAGTAATCAACCAAGACACACCCTGCACATCCACTCAATTGCTGCCCGAACCCTCTGTCCGGCCCAGAAGACCAACGGCTTTTTCAATGCCCCGGGCCAAAATGCCAAGTCCCGACTAAAGAAAACACAAATGGTAATTACAAAAACAAGGAATCTCGACGGGTCAATAAAAACGAGCAATGGTTTTCTGAGGGTTTGGTTCGGTTAGTTGGCTACTAAATGTTGTGTGGAGATTTCGATGCGAGGCAGATGTTTCCCTGAATGCATTATTTACAAACTACACACCGTCTTCAAAGGCTAACGTGGCATGAAGAATTGTAAGAATTAATCTTTATGATAAAATAGGACCTCGTCCCCTATTAAAACAAGAATGATCTTTGAAGATTTTAGGTTACACGTGACATCACTTTTGTCAACACTAATTACAATGATTGGATGAGCGCCCCCTACCGGGCGGTTTCCTCTCGTCGTCTGCTCCAAAAACATTGTACCGCCAATTACCGTTCTGGGTCCAACATACTTTCGCCAGACTCGGCGATAAACTCCCACTTTGAAAACGATACTTAAACTTTGATAGTCTCATATAGACGAGCATGAGGGTATACGAACACCACGTACAGTAGACAACCTGTTTGAAGTCTGTCCCTGAACATATGTCTACACAAGGATGTGGATTCTCACGACTGAACCTATCCTTCTGAAGTCGGCAAGATACGATATAACATGAAAGAGGCATCTGTCCATGGTTCCTAAGAAAGTATATGATGTGATATAAGAGCTAGTTTTAGTGGTGCATCTCGGGCTACAGGTTCCGGGTGTAGAGTAGCCATTACCGCCAGATATACCGGAATCTCGTTACCTAGTGATGGATTGATGCTTGTTTCAGCAGCAGAGTTAGTTGGTCGAGTGATTCCCGCCCAAACCTATCAGTCACATTCGGGGAGCTACGTCGACCCGATGTCTCCCGTCGGAATACAGTCTCAGTTCAACGAAACGTGTTTTGTTTGTTATACAAGTTTCATCTGAAGTTTCCAATTCTATCCTTGTCTGTGACCGTAGATTCAATGTGTGGGTATGCTGTGTGGGTGGAGTCAAGGTAACGGTACTGTCATCCATACATACACGTTGATACATCCACAGACGTACATCGTATAAAACATTTAATACTGAGAAAACCCCAAACCGCTACTTAATAATAATCATCGAGTCATATCGAAAGGCAGAAAGATCTGAATTGACACGTGGCCTAAATAAGTCGAAATTGAATACCCTTTCTGCAAAAGTTTAAAAGTACAACATATTGATTGAATGCATTAAAAAGATTATTCGAGTCGCGCGCTGTGTCTGTGCTGAACAAAGACAACATGAAACCGTTCGTGAAAGGAGCGTTGCCAGTGGACACGTGTAGATAAACAAAACTAATACGTATGTTATGCGCTTCGAAAACTATTGGTAAAAAATTCCACTATTTGGTTGTGATGCGTTTATTGAGGGAGGGCACATGGTTCCAGGGAATTAAATAACGGTTATTTAGGTCCGTGGTTGCACTGATACATAACTATTACTAAGACTGATCTAACATATGATTTGAAGAAACATATAGCTGTTTTGTTTTTTGTATATTTGGTGTTTAACGCCGCACTCAGTAATATTCCAGCTATATGTCGGCGGTCATTAAATAATCGAGTCTGGACCAGACAATCCAGTGATTGACATCATGAGTATCCATCCACGCAATTGGGATACGATGACATGTATCAACTAAGTCAGCGGGCCTCACCACCCGATCCCGTTATAGTCGCCTCTCACAACTATCTGTTTATTGCAGATGTAGGTGTTTATCTATAGTTGATGATCTAGACGTCAATTTGTCTTCATCGTTCTTGCTGTCTTCTTGCTGTTTTGCATCACACAGCAGTATTCCAGCTATATGATGGCGGCCTGTAATTAATCGAGTCTGGACCAGACAATCCAGTGACTGATATTCTGAGAAACGATCCCCGCAGTCGGGGTACGATGACATGTAATCGGGTGGGACTACCCAATACGTTTTAGTCGCCTCTGACGACCACCATAATATGTATTCTACCTGAATCCCCATGGTGGACTGGCTGTTTTGTACATACGGGAGTTGAAACAAGTGGAAATAATACCATTTAGATTCTCAAAAACTTGAAGATTTGCTTGAAGTTTTGCAATCTCAGAAAAGTTCAATTGTGTCAAAACATTTGATTTTTTAAAACTTTGTGCACCACTGTTCGACACATCAAAATTAAAGAAGAACACCTTCCTTGATCCTTGGCGCGTTTGCAACTAAAGGTGGTGATAATTTGCTACATAACTATCGTCAAAGGTTAGGGACATTTGTCAAAAATGAAAGCAAATGGCATGAGAAGTTTCCTGAGAAAGCAATATGTGAAATGGGGGAGTGTCTCATAGATAACATCTATGTGAAACTTGGGGACAGGACATTTAGGCAAGAAGCAGGCATCCTCGTAGGTACCAAGTGTACTCCACCACCCCTTGTTCATCTGTTTGTTTATGCATACGAGTTTGAATTTCTGCTCGGAGCTTGAAATAAATTAGACCATTTAAAACCGCCTCATCTCTTTCAAATAGATCTATGCTATGGCATATAGTTTCAGAGTAACAAAAACTATCCACAAGACTGAATGCCACGTTTGTGTTGGTTGTTTAACGCCGCATTATGTCATGAGGGATGACTTCAACGTTCTAATAGTCACCTTTCCCTTCATGTCGAGCAACATTCCAGGAGCGGCAACGTTTGAGGAGCGACATTTCACAATTTTAGACGTACAATCGAGCACGCTCTTTCTATGAAGATTCTGTAAAGTTTTCAAAAGGTTGTATGGTAGACATGTGGAGGGCATTTCCAAATCTGACGCACACTGACAAAAATGATGTCCGATACAAGTCCTATTTTGACTGTATGCGTGTGTTTTTAGGGAAAAAGCTGACTTGCCCCTGCATGTATTTGTGATAGGTGACACCGGTGGGGCAGGATGCGCTTACCTTTTGCGGACATCTGGTATCATCACTTTTTGATAGTGATTCATAAACACATGGTCAGGATAGAGTCGGTATCGTACACAGGGCTTTTAGAAGAGATTTCTTATGACCGTAGAAAGGGTTTTGTTGCTTTTAGTGTATACGCCCATGAACCACCGCTGATAGTTCTTAGAGAATAAGTGGGGTTGTGTAGCCTAGCGATTATAGCGGTGGCTCGCCGAAGACCCGGGTTCGATACCCAAGTTGGGTACAAAGTGTAAAACCAATTTCTGGTGTCCTTCTCCACGTGGTCTTGCTGTCCAGATATTGCTAGAAACGGCGTAAAACCCGATTCACTTACTCAACCCTTTGAATAAAACACTGACGGGGCTCAGTTCCGCACAAGAACGATACCAGGTTAACACAACACACATGCACTGGTATCTGTATCTGTATCAGGCAGTGAGGTCTGAGAAGATAGTCATCAGCTGTATGTCGTGCGGGTGTCGATTCAAGCCACTGTCCCCAACTGCTAATGAGACATAATGACCATCTACGACTGTCTAGTTAAGTATTTATCAGTGTAAAGAACAGAGATAACTGCAGGGTAGATATGGTTTAACGCGTGATAGTCACCAATCAGTCACTGGACTCCTTACACTGACAGAGAAACCGGACCACTAGTGTTGTCAGACGCGAAGACGTTATCTGGTGTTTTGATACCAGTTTACAGAAGGATATAGACCCGTGGCTGTTTAGCGTGTTATACTGTTGGTGAGACTAGTGCCCTGATACCAGTTTGCAGTAGGATATAGACCCGTGCCTGTTTATCGCGTTAGACTGTTGTGTAGGTAAGATAGCCCGACAGACAATGGCAGTTATCTCCGTGTATACCCGCTACCCGTGGGCTCTGAGCACCAACCAGGCACAAACATAGCTTCGATAATACGCTAATCCTGGCGACGTAAACACGGATAAGTGAAACGCTCGCTATCGCGTGTAGCGAACAATACCAGTTGATGTTATCAGGGCGGGCAGCGACAAGTTGTTCCCCTTGTGTAGAATGGGCCGGTCTGTGCAGCTCTGCTGGCTGGCTTGCTGGCCTCCACGCGTGGCTGGAGCTGACGGAGGGCGGGTTGAGTCGCCTGCTTGGCCAATCTCTGCCGGGTCTGAAACAGCTTCAGTTGAGACTCAGCGTTACGGCGAGCAGGTTGTTGGCAGGCAGTGGGAAAGTTTGACAGGTTGTGGGACTCGGATTGTACTGAGTTGTTCCCGTGTTGTGGATACGTTCTAGAGATGTGGTCTTGTATTATGGAGGAGTACTTGCTTGTGTGACGTTATGGATATATCCGTACTGTGGCGAGCCTTGGCCAGTGGTCACCTGGTCATCACCTGGCTGCTCCTCACCGCTATCACAGGGGGAAGAACGCAGCACACCTGTAATCAGTGCGACTGTACAATCAGGTAAGAACTGATCGCTGATGCCAAAAGTAGCATGTAATTAAAGATCAGTCCCTATATAGACACAAGATTACAAAATGAGAAAGACTTTTAAATAGTTCATTGAAGTCAGTTGGATTATATCGACACACCGCACAGACTGAAACAAATTCACTTTACCAAAAGAAGACATTATTTGTTTGTCTTTAAAGTATATATGTTTTGGAGTGAAAGAGACAAGGTTTTAAACTGTTATTAGGAGCGATATGGACCAGGTGTCTCCCCATCCGTCACAGGAAGGGCAGTGTCGTGTAGATATGGCTACGGCTTGTGTAGGAATGTTATGTAAGTAATCAAGTGCACGAAGTGTGACGATGTAGATGTAGACGGTATCAGGTGACAAGACATAAAGGACGCTGGGTCACGTGAAGACAGAGGATGGTATCCCACAGGACATTAGAAACGTGAAACCATCATTTATAAAGAGACATACATCAGTGACGCTTGTGGCCAGTCTAACCATCCTGTTCCAGCATGATACAGTTGAAGCACTATGGGATGACGGCTATCTCCGTCACGGCTGCTGGGGAACACCTGTGACCTGTCGGTCACACTTTAATGACTCGTGACAATAAACACGATAAATTACACTTCAAAACAGAGGTTCCACAAAATCACCCTAGCATACGGGCCACATATCAAATTCAAAATATTTGATTTCCGGAGAACGTTGTTTGCGAATGATATGGCTGCGACGTAAACCCTCCTAACGGTTTTCTTATTTATTATCATATGAAAGAGACTACCGTGTGCGAGAGAAACCGTTAATGTATTGAGGCAATATTTGTCCGAGTGACTTTCTGGCCTATTATGAATTCCGAGTCAACAAGCAAGTAGTCGGTGTATGGAGCTACTTACGCTGTTCCGACACCCATACAGACCAAGTGTTGGGAGGAGCTGGTAGGGTGACACGTCGGACATCCACGACATGAGATCTGAGATGATGTCGTCTGCTCGGGTCAATATTGGTGCACGCTCCCCTCCTTCCCTCTCGGCCCCTCCGCGGCGTTCCCGGCTGCATTGACGGGCTACAGGTTGTTGGTTCCCCGCACACAACGGTGTTGACGTTGTCTACAACTGCCGGCTTAGCACCGCCGTCCATGTATGTCCTCGCATCCAGGCCCGCTAATCCTGCACACACATGATGGCGATCAACACGGAGGCACGTAACCTTCAAATCTATACACAGGCAAACACATCATGCTCAGAAAATATCAAAACTCGTTTTTGCAGTTCCAATCTTTTGGACAACCTTCACTGGTTTAATATAGCTTTTGCTTGTATAAACATGGAGTGGAATAAAAGACAAAAACAAGGAGAGGAAGGCCACTGAAAATGATTTTCAATACAATGAATCACACTTGTACCTGACTGCTTGTGTAAATCGGTGCAACATGCACCAGATGCTCATATAAGATTTCAATTAATTGATATTTTAAAGCTTACTGCGTTTAGTAGCCCTCCGTCTTTCAATTCAATTCTACGGTTTCAGGAATTTAAATGCTGTGGTACTCCTAAGCATATCCTTTCATTAAAGATTGCGGAATAAGGTTCAGTGCTTGTGTTCTCAACCCTTCAATGCACTATGTAATGCAGTATGTGTGTATCGCGTCATGTTTGCTGTCTCTCTCTCCGTGTCTCCGTGATCGTCAAATGGCGAGTTAGCAGCACCGTCGGGATAACACGCCAAGCTGTTGGAGAATGCAAGCATCACGACAAACACGCGAGACCAATAGAACAATCTTTCCACGGTTAAAGCCGTAATAAAGGAGTTAATAGGTTTGCATGTTGGGGTATTTGACAAAGTAGAGGGTTTATAATGGCATCTGTCAGGACCTATACATTCTGAGGAGCGGCTGATGGCTGCTAGCGATGACATGCATTCCGTGGATTGCTTGATGTCAGTGACATTTTAGGGGTGTTTACTTCACAAGCATCATATGTTGAGATTAATAACAAAGCAAATAACTGGTAAATGTGAACAGGCGGAGTTTCTGAAAACGTTTTCTGGAAACGTGTTGATGACGTGACAAACACGTACACGAGTGTCGTGATCCTTGTCATCTCGACAAGCTTAAAGATGCTTGCTGTTAACAATTAGGGTGGTGGGGCTGGGTGGCTCGGTATTCGGAAGACCCGGTTCGCTTTCCCACACAGGTAGACGGCGTGAAGACTTTATTTGGTGTCCCTTGTCGTGATGTTGCTAGAACTCGTCTGAACGCGGCATAAAAGACCCAGTCGCTCCATATGAAAATAGGGAGTCGAGTGTAGAGGTGGGTCTCAGCCTAGAGTTCAAGTCGGGAATTTCGAGTTGGGACGATAACGCGTTACTCATGTGTAGAATGTCCCCCTACATCTGGACTACGGTGGTGTAGCACCCTGGTGGGAGGTGGAGTGTGCTGGGGAAAAGTTGCCGGACCCTGCCAACACACTCCAACACCTCGTCAGTTGGACCCTGAGTCTACTGAGATGAACACTTGTCTGTGAGAAGTAGATGGGAAGCTTCTCTCAGAAGAACATGTCTCAGATGGTTCCCTACCGACACAGTTGACTGTAGTGAGAGTGTTGCCTCTCGCAAGTCGCTGTAGGAACGCTGTAGTCACGTCCCACTCCCCTTTCGTCCCTCCCTCATTGTCCCCCTCTGCAGGTATGTGACCACATTCTCGCCAGTGTTTGATTTGTAACTCGACTCTCTGTCCTCCTCTCGCCGACTTGCGTTCTCTCCCGCCTCCCTCCATAGTGACGGCTATTTCTCTACCCCACCGTCAGCCCTATCAGCCAGGGCAAATAAGCCGAGGGCAAACTGACGGGGGTCGGGGGTCCCTCCCCATGCCTTCCATCTATCGGTGACTGTTGTGGGGGGAACTCTACACCGTCATGATGGAGCCAGGCAATCACACCTTTCACAGGCTGTTTGTGGTCGGAATTATGTTTCCACTTGACACAATTTGCCCTGGATGGTAGTTGCATCACGACCAAATACCCGGACCAGGCGGTCTTCCTTGTTCTCGCCGACAACACCAACAACACACTAAACAACACGGCCAAAGAGATTAATGAGGATTGAAAGAAAATACAATCTGTTTACACGAATCTCAAAAATGTCTTTAAATAATCCAGTGTCAGTTTAAGTGACCTCTAGATGGAAGCTAACATGGAGTTGGTTGCGTCTAAGCGAGGTGTACCGAACCAACGGCGAAATTGACAGCGGTGAGACACTGCGACGGCATATGGATTCATGTGCGCCCATGTCCTATATATCATGACGCAACCATCAGAAAAATGATATTTATTACGCATATTTTATTTATTGAAGACATATGACGCCTTGTTGGGCAATCTGACATGTTTACATTCTTAACCAAATATGACTACAGTCAGTTATGAGCCCAGTATATCGCGTTGAGATGGCGAGTGACTCAAGTGCCAGGTATGTGCTTTCACACAACCATCTCTTTGAATAAACCCGGAGATGGTAGCGATTACTCTCTGCTCGTCTACTGGGTCCCATGCATGCGATAGTGTAAGTTTTAACTGCTGTAATCTATACTTATAATACAGTGTAGGTTTCCTCCTAGTGATAGGAGATAGGAGATAGTCAGATCTTGTTATAGGTTTGTGTTGTCCTTTCCAGTCTGCAAATGGTCTACAAACCGCCGTCACGCTAGATGCTCTGTAGTTACTGGCGTCCAATCTTCTAGTGTTTGTAATGACGTGCTGCACGGAAACTGGCTCAAATACCCTAATTAAAGCCGTCCATAGTGCGTGCCGGCTTGGTATTAGGCCGTGTTTGGGTGCCATGCATCCAACCCGGGCTGGTTCGGATGTCATTAGCCTATCACCTTTTCGATTAGTTCCTCGAGGCCGTGGATGGTTCCGGGTCTCGGCTGACTTTCTTGTAGGGTCTGTTTTCGAACTGGAGGAGAGAGATTCGGGTGACATGGGGGGAAATGGTCGCCGCGTTCCTCCTTTGCTGAGCTGCACGGTTATGCAAGTTTGATATTGAGCCAATTGTAAATAGGATAAGATGGCATGTTTCCGCAATTATCAACGGCACACGGAGAGAAAATGCCAACACAAATATTACCTGTAATTGAAAGTAGGTGTAATTGATATCCGGCCAACATTATTAGACTATCCCGACACCCTGGTGCTTCCTAAGAGAAGTAATATGTTTCTTTCAACAAAGTTATTTACTTTTTTTACTTCTCTAATATAAAATTGATGTTCCCTTCCCATGGATATTCTAAACACAGTGCCATTGTCCATTTTATGTTCCTTGATAATACCAATAAAATATTGTTGGAATGGAGGAGAATATCGGAGAGTGCTCTCTCCAGCCGACTCCTTGTGAAGTGGAGGTATCATTGGTATTGATGTAGATGCATCATTGGTCTTGATGGTCCGGCTTCAAAGGTATTGTTGCGGAGGTACCAGCGGTCTTGGAGTGGACGTACCGTTAATCGTAAAGTTGAGGTACAATCAATGGGTCTTGATGTTGCTGGAATATTGCTAAAAGCGGCGCAAAACCCTTCTCATTCACTTGAAGTGACGTTAGCATCCGCAGTGGAAGTGCGAGGAGTCTTGATGAAGGGTCTTGAAGGAGTAGATTTGGGTATTGACAAGGTGTAAGATGGGTGCATGTCTGATTGATTTCGAGTGGCGTCCTTTGAACATTGCTGCCTCGAGCCTATTTCCTCCAAGGGGGATATCGTATCACTTGGTACCATATACGACAACCTTCTCTACTCCACGCTGCGTTGTTTACCGCCGCTGACAACTTGTACGTCAGCCAAGCTTGTCGGCCGCTACAAACACCCCTATTTAAGGTGTCGTCTGCTCCTGGCGACCCTTTCCTAAAGTGGAATGTGGCAGACGACAGATTAGAGAAGACCTGTCCCTCTCCTTGGTAGAGAGACCTGCGCCTAGAGAGTGGATAACCCGCCTTACGTATGTAAACAAGATGAATGCATTACCGCGGACTGGCCGTGTAGTCATGACAAACTGTGAATGTATTAATAATAAATAGAAAATAGCTGAGCCAAGGTATTAACTGTGGTATGCAAATTGTCAAGTAGAGATTTTAAGCAATATATATGCCATTTGGATTGAAATATTGGTGCAAATAATGTTCATACTTGAACTTCCTATCTTTGATTTGTAGACCCAAGGAATTTATTGCATGACCTCAATTCTTTATTTCATGAGAGAGCAGTTTCATACTGTTGTCATGCCCCGGCTGATATAGACAACCTATAAAAGTGACAAAAGTCACGTGTGTCACAGTTCTATTGCCTACAGTAGCTCGATCGTTGCGAGGATTTCTATAGTTGTCAAATGTACTCAATCCGGCCTGAAACGGTATCTTACAATTGATGAATCGGGACGTTTTCAGAGGTAAAAACCGATTTGAAAAAAACTGCGAGAGGAGTAATGAATATGTAGAGTTTTGCATTTCAGATTAAACCCAGCAGTTCACAATATTACTACTTTATGACGGCGGGATGTAGTTAATTGAGTCTGAAACATGCAAAGCAATGGTTTCTAGTGCCCTCTAAATGTTCATGCACGAGGCGTATGACGACATCAAATCACCCTGGCCACTCTTTGTAAACACCAGATCCTCCTTTTGATCCGCTTTGCGCCAAGTTGTATTAATTTAACGTTATTTACTACTGTTGATAATGAAAAAGGCAATGTTTCAGGGTAGATTACATCTTAAATGTATTTCCTCTTGAGTATTGACGCATATAGTTAAACATCTGTTTTTGTTTTCCAGTGACCCGGGCAATGGAGAAGGGGCCATCATTAACGTCAAGCCAAAATGTCTTGAAGGTCGAATCACGTGGTTAAGTTCATACGGTGCAATCAGGTTAGAGCTGAGTCCGAGACATGCCGGGGAGTACAGATATTGTGTTCGTGTACAGAGTGAAAATATCAAAACTATAGTATCACAAGAAGTGCTATCCAGGACACGTGGGAATTATAAATTAAAAATTGTGAACGATGTGGAAGTTCGGTTATCTCCCCTTTTTACAACCAGAGGGCGCAGCAGGGAATTTTGTATTTCCGGTTCCGATCCAGTCCGGTTGTACCTGGAGACGGAACGTAGCGACGAAGACACGGGGGTTGCCAGGGTCAAAGTTCACTATGACATCGAGAGGACGTCGAGCAGTCTCCATTATAGTCCCATGGAAGGTGAGATGTGTTCAAAATATTGTGTCGATGTGTTCTCAATGCTACTACGGTGAGCGGTGGGGTAGCCGAGAGGTTAAAGCGTTCACTCATAACGCCGAAGACCCTGGTTTGATTCCCGTCATAAGTACAATGTGTGAAGCCTGTTTCTAGTGCCCCCCGCCGTGATATTGCTGGAATATTTCTAAAAGCGGCGTAAGACCCAATTCACTCACTCTCTCTTACTACTACTACGGCATTAAGTCTATGTAAATATCGCCCACTTAAAAGACATACATAGCGTCACAATGACAGCCCTTCAATTTTGAGAAAAGAGAATCGTCTTGACACGACACGACTGACTCGATAACTTAGCAGGTGAATATTGCCAAGAACAGCCTGAGAGCGGCAGTGGTGCAGTGAGCAGAAGTCTCCGAAGTATTCAGTCATTTCCTGTAGCAGAACTAAAACATATAACAAGGGATTGGGATTGAAACACACATCGCAGTGTCGATACATAATGTCAAAATGCTACTCCATATCAGTAATTTGTTAAACTAATTAAAAACAAGTTTTAAATTAAAAAATTAAATTACTTATCAATCGTTAGATTTAATAATAAAATGTTCCAAGCACTGCTGAGAAGCAATTGCTATCAATCATCGAACCAGGTGTGTCCACAAAGGACGAAGCATCATCTAGTAGCTTGATGACAGCCATACAAAATGGAGTACTTCGTGCTATAGTTCTTCCATAAAGCATGATTCATACTAAAGAGCCATGAAAAAAATCATTTTCGAAGAAATAAAACTCGTACGAGGTATTCACCTTCCGCGTGGTCGCCCGGAAACGTGTCCAGTTCCCTACACGTGAGGGACGCAGTATTGTTACAGACGAGAAAACTATTGCTGATAAAACCAGATCAGTTGCAGTAAGAAACATATCATGTCACTACAGACGGTTAAATCTCAGTTGTCGCCCAACTAACTGGTTTTCAAGTCACTCTTGGTGCAATGTACTCTTTTGTTGCCGTGAGTCGGTCCAGGTAGAATTAATCAAACGGTACAACTCAGAACAAACACTTGGGCTAGAGCCTGGAGAGACGTGGTTACACAACTCCCAATATGGACCTCTGAGGAAATGGATTGAAGATAAGACTTATACAATTTAAAAATTTTGAACTCAGGGTTATTGGTCCCTTGCACACCTTTATGTACAGAAATATGGGGGCAATATAGAAAACTGGTCTCTTGGACTTCTTATTAATATAACGTCATGGAAAGACTGTAGCACACCCTAAACGTAGATTTATGTGAAAATGCAGGTTTTAATATAGGGGACAATTTAGAACATAAAACTCATGGAGATACAACCAATAGCAGGAAGCAGTATAATGCACTTTCAAATATCATAACCGTTAACTAACATGACATCCGAGCCATGCGGCTGGAATGCTATCAAAAAAGCATTGCCGTACCCACTGAATACCTTTTTTGTCAAACACCCACCACGTACATCCGACCCCACCCCCTCCTCGTCGGAGCTGATGACAGAGAGCCTGGGAACCTGTGCTGTCTAAAGACGCTCTCCACACTCCTCCACCACACTGCCCCGGTCATTCAGCCCCTCAGTCGAGATATAGAGCGGTGAAGAATTCAGCCTTTTTCAACCGCACGTGTTTGATCTGTAGAAATATTTGAAATGATATTGCGAGTTATTCGAAATTGAATTGGGCTATGGAGAACTGTTTGAAAGCAGGAACTTGACATCCAGCAATTTCGCCCCTGAGTTGAGACTTGTTGGCCTAACTGTCAACCCCCCTCAACGAGTGAGCTTGCTTTCAATACATTGATACTGTGGTTATAATGCTAGTTAAATGATAATTTTATTACACCTGCATTTGTTTATTTACAGAGTGTCGTCCTTGTACGGACAGAGAGCTGTTGCGGGCCTACTGTACCAGTGACTTCGGTGAGTTGTCAAGTTAAAACTGGTTGTGAATCATCGCTGGGTTTTTTTGTAATGTAGGTGCGCTTATCGGCAGAATATGCACCCACGCTCGTCAGCTCTCTGCTGCAACATAGCGTGGTATCTGATGGCATGGATTCGGCATCTGGGTTGTTTGCTCTGCACCAGGATATAACTGTTGGATGTTCATTTGGGTGTGTTACCAAACTCCCCTGCTTGATTTTCATATTATTTCATAAAGATATACATCTCACATACAGATTGTCCTGTCCCCTCACTCTAAATCGCTCGGGCGCTCAATTTACTCACTAACATAGCAAGCCAAACAACGCTATGCTCACGCACTAAATCACTAGCATAGCAAGCCAAACAACGCTATGCTCACTCTTTCACTCGCCTCCAAATAGAAGCATCAACATGCCCTTGTATCTAGCCACTTCCTACCCTGCACAACACAGGTAGTCAAGTGAAGTAACAATGCAGATAATCCCAATCACACACACCGATCTGTCGGAGCACTTTGTTCATCAATCCCCGACTGCCCACTTCCTGTCGGTGGCGCTCACCAACACATCGCCCCGCCCTGGTGGGCAATCCGACACCCCTCTGGACCCCGCTCTCGGGTACACGGGGCTATAAATCTTATCATTTGGCAGAACAGTTTCAACTTAGGCAGTAACTTTGTAACAGAAGTAGATGGTGTGCCCTAACTTCTCGCCGACCGATACTGCTACCCCACACGAATTCGCGTGATTCTGCTTTAGAAATTGATCGGTCGTAACGCTGAGTGCGCGTGATGTAGGTCTTAATTCTAAACTTTCAATACTGAGCGTATACACAAGCGCCACATTCAGATGTAATTGTCTAGTTTTCTAAGACTCGTCATTGTTGCCACCCATGGCTGTTGACGTGGTTCGTTCCGCCCGTGTAAGTACCGTGATTGTTACAGATAAACTTGGTTTTCTCTGCTTGGCTATAGTGTTTTGCACGTAACGACCCGACACAGCCCATAGGGCGAGCATGCATATGCATCCTTGTTGCAGTGAGTCATCCATCGTACCTGGAGACAACATCAGGCTGTATGGGCGAAACGTCGTGCACTACAGTCGGTCATACTGTTGTTATATGTATTCCGAATCTTATTGATCCTAAAAGTACGGCAAACAAGTATAATGATGGCTTCGCTAATACACTTTTTATGTAGGGAATTGGAAATTACAATTTAATTACATGTTTCGGTCATTGCAGTACATGTGTAGTACATATGTCTCGTTTATAATATTATTAAAATATTTGTTCATGTGTTCAGTTGCTGTCGGCAACATGGATGATGTCGACCATGACGACGTTGAAGAAACTTCCGTCATCCGGGTGTCTGTGACTCAGTTGCTTTCGCAGAAGGACGCCATTTTCAAAAAGGCAGAAAATGGATGGACCCGTCCCCACGAGCTGAAGGGGGTGGTTCACGCCCCGCACAGGTGCGGCATTAGACATGGGGAGGGACAGTTCTTGTTCACAGGCCGCGTTCGTCTGGGTCAACCAGTGTTACAGTGTGCCCCGCGCTATGAACAGTGGAAGAGTGTTCTCGAGATGGCGCTCCTCAATGATGAACTTGAATGTTCTTACGGATCATGATGAGAGTGAGGACCTCATATCATATGTGCCATATCCACAGGAAAGTGTTTATTTACAGCGACTAAACTTATCCAAGCAATGGACCAATCTCGTGGGTGCGAGAACTGGAGCACCACGTGCGTTGTGAGACGATATTGTCGTTGTGTTTCTGTGATACTGTTTTAACTTTCCAAACTTGCAACCGGAAGTGCATAATGACTGCTGTGCGTGACCTGGTCACGTGACGGAATCCATGATTGTGTACATAATGTGCTCTCTCAACCTGTGATAGCCTATTGTCCATTGAACCCAGGACAGGGTCAGGACCAGTGAAAAATGGCGGCAGTTTTAAACTGCGATTGTGTGAAGATGGCGACCTGATGGCATATGAACAGACAGTTCTGGGCGAGTCCATTGCAAAATGATCTCATCTGTGCTAGTCTCTGTAGAATCGTTTTTGTCATAATGTCATTCCTGCTTTGAAAGTGCAGCAAACAGATTCGACCAAACCAAATGTATATAGAACAAAGATCTGAGTTTGTTCATCCAAAGTTATGTGTATTTATGAACTTTATACTGTAACTGTCTGTTTGCTTCAAAAACAATTGAAACAAACCTATGACACATTCAGTTGGTGACACAATACATTCATTATGTATGCCTTTCGGAAATAGGAGACCACCGAACAGTCATGACGATCCATATTCATCTTCTCATTGAAATTCCTAAAACTGCCTAACATTCTGTCCACATTCCTTCATCTCATGGGACCATCTGGTTTCCGGTTGAACTGAAAGGTTTTAGAAATGTCCATCTGCGAAGTTTCCGTCCCCCTCGACCCAAAGTAAACCCTTGTTAAACCAAACGTCATAGCAATTAGTTCCCCATGCATATCATGCCACACCCTCCTTGTTCCCCCAGGTTGTTATTGCAATATTGTCTAGGCGACGTCAACATGCGCTCGATCAGTTCCATTCCAAGCTTGATAAATATCACCAACACTCTTCCCTCCAAACTTTTCAACCAATACAATCATGTTCCACCCGCTGACGACATACATACAACTCATCCACATACAGGACTGCAACATCAACAACAGCACCCTCCCCTCTAGCACCATGACGACAACGTCATTCTGGACCCCCACCGTCTACGCGTGTCTTCACAAGATACGGCACTGCGACTTGCTCCACGTCGCTTCTGTCTGCTTCACCGCTCTATCGATATGAAAACTTATCGACGAGAATAATATTCCTGGCTTCCGATTTTAACACTACATCTTCACATTTTTTTACTCAAAACAACAACTGCTAAGATGCTTTCGGCAACGTAAAAAAATCTTAAAATAGGCTAAGATTACTTTCGGTTGTACATATCCTAAACCTGATATTTTACACTCACAACTGTTCATTCCGTCGAGGGGCGGTGGGGTAGCCTAATGGTTAAAGCGTTCGCGCGGTTCGATTCCCCACATGGGTACAACGTGTGAAGCCCATTTCTGATGTCCCCCCGCCGTGATATTGCTGTGATATTGCTAAAAGCCGCGTAAAACCATACTCACTCACTCACTCATTCCGTCGAATGTTGCTTTACAAACATAATGCCCGTTAGATTACGGTTTTAGCCCTTGTAATGTTGTTTCATTACAGATATCGTGAAATATCCATTCTTAATAAGTGTCACCTCTTGGTGAAGCCGTCACACTGCATCAGATGCCAGCTCCGTGCAGCGTTGTCCAGGCGTGGAGTTTCACTGTATACAATAACCCGCTTCAGTTGCCTCCTGCGCATATCACATCAGTCAGCTGCTTCATGTACATATTGTTGATACCAAATTGTTACTTGTTGTTGAATCGTTATATTTTGTATAAAATGATGAATTATTAAAACATTGACTACAAAAATAGTTGTGTTGTTTGTACGAACAATTTGGACTGGTCCACCACCAAGTTTTTGTCCAGCTGAACGTGCGGGATACATTGGATCGCATGGCTGCACAGGCTGGGAGAGAGATGCACCAGCAATACCACAATTGCGGTACACATATCGGACCGATAAACGCACGTGATAACACAATTCACAAACTTGTCAAAGGGCGAAAATGTAGCAAAAAAGTGTTCCGACGTCTGTCAGCTGATTTGAACCCGTGAAGATCCGGGGTAGGATAGGTCTTCAGCAACCCATGCTTGCTGTAAAAGGTGACTATGCTTGTCGTAAGAGGCGACTAACGGGATGGGGTGGTCAGGCTCGCTGACTTGGTGGTTGCATGTCATCGTATCCCAAGTGCGTAGATTGATCCTCATGATTTCAATCACTGGATTGTCTGGTCCAGACTCGATTATTCACAGACCGCCGTCATACAGTTGATTTGACTGCCGACATATATTGTCGTCTGGTAGGGACGTTTTGGCAATGTCCCAATGTTTCTGAACTTGGCAAACGACATTGTTTGGCGACAGGGTGTGTCTGCAGGCACCAGGACGCGCGTGGCCACCTGCTACAGTAAATCTACATGTATACAAGCTACAGAGACATTCCACCTCGCGGAGTACGGAGTCAGTTGACATGCGAGTGTGCAGCGGCCTCCTCCACTCTTACTCATTTGAATATTTCTGTTAACAAAATAAGCTGGAATAATAAACATGATTTTTTAACGCTATGAATGTTTTGACGAGATATAAATATCCCCTGTTTTCCGCCCAGGGGCACCGAGTCTCATGCCCCCACTCCCCCCTAACCCCGTTGGCTGCGCAGGATCTCCGTGACACGGCGACAAACCTCGCCTGTCGGTGTAAGCACATTGTTATGGCTGATATATTCGGGCCTGTAGCGGTATATCATGTTTAAAAATCCAGCAACGTGACAACCATATACATACACACCAGTTGTAAAAGAAGAACAGGTCCCTCTTCTCTTTGAAAGTGATACCCTCAGGCCAACCTTCCCTTTTAGCCATGTGTGTTTTGTATGGGGCACGCATCTTTATATTCATCAGTATCGTACTGCAAATGTCAGTAACAAGACTATCTAGATCAGGAGTAAAATTTGCAAATAAACTGTCCCAAGTCGGTGACCCTGCAGTTGAGGCATTCGCTGATCACACATCGACGTGGGGTTCGATGCTCTTAGTGTTATCATTCTGAATTACGGTCCTTGGTATTGGTACTTTGTACTGGTGGTGAAACCGACGTATTACTAACCCCTCACTCGAGTCAAGTTGGGGGTAACCGAGGATTCACGTGTTCCCCTGTGACGTACATCCACGACCCACACTGACAAGTAGCTTTGATGATGCCCCGTGTTGTTGCCATCCTGAGGTCAGTGACGACATGAAGTGTGAATGTTTTGTTTGTTTGCTTGTTTAACGCCACACTCAGCAATATTCCAGCTATATGTCGGTGGTCTGTAAATAATCGAGTCTGGACCAAACAATCCAGAGATTGACATCATGAGCATCGATCCACGCACTTGGGGTACGATGACATGCATCAACCAAGTCAACGAGCCTGACCACCTGATCCCGTTAGTCGCCTCTTACGACAAGCATAGTCGCCTTTTACGGCAAACATGGGTTGCTGAAGACCTGTTCTACCCCGGTTCTTCACGGGTTTGAAGCGTGAATGAGTTATCGCTGCCTTTAATAGTATTTCGGTTATGTCAATGCGAGTTTGTTGGATCTGTTGTTCGAATTTTGTTTTGGTATAAATTATCATTACTATCGGTTCGTGGGTGTCAGGGAAGATGTGATGGCGTACGGACAAGAAGGAAGGGTAACTGGGGTAGGTGTTTGGCTGTGAGGTTTCACCAAGCCTCACAACGCGATCCATTCAGGGGCCTCTCACGTCCAGCATAGGTTTCTGGGGACCAATTCTACCACCACGTTCCCACTGGATATGACTGAGGTGCCTATAAACCATCGTTATCTGGGTGTCAAGACGGATTTGGAGTGTTTTTTCCATGGCGTGCTGGTAATGAATTCAAATTATGAACGTATTTAGTATAAAAATGTGTAATGGTATAAAAGTGACATTTATTGAATTATAAGAAAGTTCAGATGTATGTCGTGAGAACGCGTCCTGTTCTGATGTTACCTACAACCCCCAAATCCCCCCATCCCCATCCCACCCACCACCAACCCCCCTCGCGTTATGATGCATAGATCAAATCTGTCTATACAGGGGTTGTTGAAGAGATGCAGATGCTCAACTACTACGGTTAGTAGGACAATACACTACTTCTAGAAATGCCTTGAACGGAACAGTAGACAGAATGGCGTCTACATTCCATTGTGCCCCCTCTGCACACACCAGCGACTCCGTACTGGAGTTTTTGTAGTCAGAGAGCGGAAAGGTCCATCTCTCATCAATAGATGAGGCCAACACACCAGGTTCCCAGGCTACCCGATAGCAACATACCCGTGTACCCGATAGCAACACACGATCTTCGCATCCTATTTTCTCTCTGCCTCGCAGTGACAAAGACATCTACCGGTTGGAAACTCTATACATGGCTTGGTTCTGATGTCATTGTGGCTATGGCCCGTGACTAACTGGGCTATATCTACACTAGCGCTGTGCGGAGTGTACAGCTATCTCAAACCCATCGCCAGCTATACCTTTGAAGTTATGCATTCTTCATGTAGTCTATTTTTGCCTCTTCATTGTCCCATCATGTTTATAATATACTACTCAAAATAAGTTAAGGACACCCCGAATATATACCCCCGTTATATTTCATATTACTATAGTTAATCTGGTATGCCCTGACCTGACATATTTACCGCCCATCCATATGATAGTCTTGCGTATTAATCTGACCTGCTGCCTATTATCAGTGACTGTGCAGAACGCGTACCTACACATCTACCTAATTTGTCACATTGGTCTAATACCTTGTGAAAAATTCCCAATATCCTATTTTCTTACATATATGTATGGGGCGGTTTTGGTAGCCTGGTGGTTAAGGCATTCGCTCGCCATGCCGAAGGGCGGAGTTCGATTCCTCACATGGGTACAACATGTAAAGCCCGTTTCGGGTGTACCCTGCCGTAATATTGCTGGACTATTGCAAAAAGCCGCGTGAAGGCATAGTCTCTGACGAAACATTACATAGCCTTCAATGATACATAATGCTTTGCTATGTACACACAAGTCAGTTTTTTTTACTTGTTGTTGTAAGATGGATGACCACGTGGAGATTCAAGGTCAGAAAAGGTCCGCAGTACCTTATGATTGTCGTCAGAGCCGATTAAGATCGTTATCATGCCGTGACAATGCTGATGGCTTCCTCGGGTATCGTGGATCGTCACTCCTACTTCCAGTGACTGGTTTACCATGTCCAGACTCGAGTAGTATACGGTCGACGTGATGTAACTGACGGCTTTGCTGAGTGCGGCGTTAAACAACACTCACTCACTCTCGCTAAGGTAGAGTACAGGTGATGCGACCCGCGAAGATTCGGGGAAGAATAGGTCTTCAGCAACCCATGCTTGCCCTAAAAGGCGACCATACTTTCGTATAAGGTGACTAACGGGATCAGGCTCGCTGACTTGGTTGATGCATGTCATCGCATTCCAATTGCGTGGATCGATGCTCATGATATCAATAACTGGGTCAGACTCGACTGTTTACACAGACCGCCGTCATATAGCTGGAATATTGCTGAGTGCGGCGTTAAACAATAAACAAACAAACACAGGGGATGCAAGGCACACGATGTATACCCAGATCTCGATTCTCATGCACCAAGACGGAATACATATGTTGGCTGAAAGGCAGGACACGTACATCTTAAGATGTAATTTGTGAGATACAAAAAACATGGAAATATCCTAGATATGCTGAGGTTTCTATATGATATGGCTCGCTAATTATGTTCGCACACTGACGATCCCGGTAGGGATTTGGGGTTAGAGCAGGTGTCCGGCAGCTATGTATCGGGCATCTTCCCGAGGCAAGAGACTTTAAAAGTCCAGTTTCCACCCTTGCCGAACTAGGCTGGAATTATGGAGTTACATTTTGGCTGCATTAATGAGTCTATGCACAGTCCAATCAAAATCGGAAAAGCTTTGTAGCATGGTTGATAGCGTGTTATCGTTCTACGATCAATAGATGAGGTGATGTGAAATGGGGTTTCACGTCGCGTCCAAGATTATTGCACTTATAAAGCGACGTGCATGCACGTGTGTGTGTGGCTGCTTGTACTTGTCCGGACTGATGCCGGGTTATAGTGCAAGCCCACTGAGATACCACGCCGCAGTTTAACATGAATACCCCACTCAGACACAGCATGCTGACTCCGAGCCGACCAGTCCTTGTTTGAGTCCCTTCGCGCCAGACAGAGTAACAACATGTACCATCTTTTAACGTCTTTTGGTGTGGGCCAGGGGTTTTCGGGCGGATGCTCTACCACTAGACCATGGAGGCGGTCACGATAAAAAGAAACGGCGCACTTACGGAATGAAGGGAACCCCATGTTTTGTCATCTTCACGAGGCAAGGGAGTTAACTGACTGTAAATTTCCAGTTTCCACCCTTGCCAACTAGGATGGAATTATGGAGTTATCGAGCCTGGAAATTCCTGCCTTGTTCGGCAAGGGTCGAAACTGGACTTTTACAGTCAGTTAACTCCCTTGCCTCAGGAAGATGGCGTTTTGTCGGCCTACTGAAATTGGGTATCGGGTGGTTACAGTGTATAGCCGGTCTGATTACGTGTCTCGGTACCCCGATGTGGATTATTGCGGACTGGTTTAAATTGTTGAAACGCATATACCCCCGTGATGAAGCTGTGAGCGGCGTAAAATAACACGCCTACACAGAATTCACTCCAGTTACTTTGTGTGAACAGAAGAACTTAATGTTGACATAACACAACTATTATGCAAGATTTGTGCTTTTAGTTTTCGC